TCTGCGGGCTCCATCTTGAGAGCATGATGTGAGGTGGGGGTGATGAATAATTCACGTGGGGCTCTCGCGGGTGCCCGGAGCACCCTGCGAGTGGCTTCTCCTTCCCTTCCTTGGGCATGGGGCTCTAGGACGGGGGTGGGGTGGGCATGGGAGAAACCGTCAGGCTAGGGACAGCTCAGCATCTGAATAAGGGCCACTCAGTGACATAAGGAAGACGGGATTAAGGAGAAATACATCTATTTCCAGTGCGTTTCATTTCTTGTCTCTGCTGTCTGTTCCGGGGGTTCACTGGCCTTCCACACGGGGTGAGGACAAACCCAGGGGGCCGTGTGCCCACCCCTCTGTTGCAGGATGACGTCCCGGTGCTTGTGTCCTGTTCCCAAGGGCTCCCATTCCGTTGGCCTCTGGTGGGACCAGGTGGCGTGTTTCTATAAGCTCCTCAGGGGAGTCCGCTCTGCAGCCAGGGTTGCGAGCCACCGTAGCGAGGTACCGACGTCATCAGGCGGGTCTCTGGGCGTGAAGGAATCGTGCAAAGCAGGTTGTTCATCTCTTACTCTTTCTTCTTATTTATCCACATTTGTACTCAATTTCCTCTTGGTCAAAATAGACTCTCGGCTTCTCTCCATGGACGAAAGCATGCTTTTTCTATTTCTTCGGGTAGAGCTGCCTCCACTAAAACACTCGTAGAAGTTATATGTGTTCACGCAAGAAGTGTGGAATATTTAGAAGAGTACTAAAAAGAGAACCAATGTGTGATCCCATGACCACCTGTAATAATCCCACCACCAGAGATTATGGTTGGTACTTCCCCCCTAGACTATATATATCTCTGTATCAACCACAGATATACCATCGATATTAGATCGGTATGTATATATACAAATTGTTCTCTACTTCATCACTGCTGCCACCATCACCATCATCATCACCACCACCATCACCATAGAGCTTTTTTGCACACGCAGAGAGCCAGGGAGGTGCTGGAAGGCCTCTTCCGGCACGATCCTTTAATGGCTGGCAGCCTGGCCACACAAAGATGAGGTGAAAATAGATCTATTTATTTATTTATTAACACCTTTTATTTTGAAATAATTATAGATTCATGGGAAGGTGCAAAGAGATGCACAGGGAGGTGAAAGAGACTTATTTTGTGCAAAAATTTTTATAGCCCTTTTCTCATTTACATTTAACCACCTATGGCACCACCATATCTCTGTTTACACACACTAGGGCACAGACACGTACACACACACACACTCTCTCAGAGAGACAGGTGTCTTGTCCTAAGGCACCTGGCTAGTCAGGCTCAGAGTTAGTCCTGGAGCACATGGCCAGCACCGACCCCCTGCCATGAGGTCGGGACCAAGGATGGGGACAGAGACTCCCACCACATGACCACTGGTCCACAGACCCAATCTGCGCTCTTGCTGTCCCCTCCCTCCCCATCACGGGGGAGCCACGCCAGCACCTAAGATCCATTCTTTGATTGGTTTTCATGCTTCCAGCAGTTACGGGTAGAGCTGCGAGTGAGAACTCGACTTCTGCTGTCTGTTTGGACGAGTGGATCTCTACCTGCGCTAAGCACCGGAATCCCCAGGGGGTCTTTAAAAAAAATGCTGACGGCCGGGTCATAGCCCCAGATGGTTTTTTAGGATGACCTCCCCCACCCCCCGCAATAATCCTAGTGTGCAGCTGGCGTCGGGAAGCAGTGGTTTTGGTATCAGTAAGGGAAGGCTTAAGGTCAAGTGCCTGGATTATTCAGAAAAACCTCTGGGCAAGAAGAAACAGAGAAGTGGGTTTCGGGTTGAATGAGGCAGCCCAGCTGCTGACATTCATCAGGGCTCACGGCCTCCCTGCCTCCTCGCACACCATCTGGGGAGAAGGTACTGAGCACATCACCGCTTTGGATCATTTCAGCAACACTGTGAGGCTGCCTTGAGTCTCCCAACTTGCTGGAGGAGGCATCAAGGCTGGGTGAGTGCATGACACACAGTCAGGGAGAACCCGAGTCAAACATTCAGGTCATTTGTTCCTAAAGCTCCGGCTCTCTTTCGCAACATCTTCGCTGCACAAGCTAGCGTTTCACAGATCTCCCCCCACGTTCAGCCTGGGGTGAAGGAAGCACATGCATTTAAGGATACGCACGAAGGAGTAAAAGCGTTTGTTTTCCCGTGATCAGGAACTTGTTCCAAGAGCCTCTGTCATCAGAACAGGCTGTCATTCTCCATCCACCAGATAGCCATTAAGTGCCAGGCGTGCGACACACCTTAGCCACATACAAGTGGACCAGACCCCGGTCCTGTCCTCAAGGGGCTTATACTCAGGTGGGGAAGACCAGCAAAGCAAACTGACAGGCACCAGCCGATGCACTGTTGACATTTATGGTTACTCAAAATCTTTTAAACACTCTCCGTTTCCTGAGAGATCCCCATTCTTTCAAGCCGGTCTTTCAACTATAAGAAGCAAAGAAGGAACCCCCCACTCGTCTGTGTGCTAGGATGGGGCCCACCACCAGACACACGGGTGTGACCTTGGGGGCCAGGTGGGCAGGGAGGAGGGCGTAGTGCACCTGCTTCGATGCTGCGGACCACGGGAGTGGTCCTGGGACCTGGAGCCGCGAGAGCCGCCCAGGACTTGAAGCCCTTGGATCCTACTGGGGGTGGGCGCTTCCGTGGTGGCCAGCCCTGCAGTACTGGCAGGGATGCGCTCCTGGGAGCTCAGCTTGGAATCCACTTTGCAAAGATCCTGTGAGCTACTTGCAAATTCTTTCTGTGTAACTGAACGAGAGTTTGCAGTAAAAACTTAAGCTACCCCAAAAGTGCTAAGACCTAGGAGGGGCTAATCATCATTTCAGTGTTTGCTGAGCACTCGGTCTCTGGGGGACTGGTATTTAGTATTTGCTGAGCACTCGGTCTCTGCTGGGGACTGGTCTAAGGACAGTACTTGGCATGTATTATTACTCACTCACTTTTCCCCAGGCCCTGCGAGTTAGGGATGGTAGTTTTCCCTCCTTAACAGGTGAGGTAGCAGGTGTAGAGGGCTTAGTCACTTCCCAGCGTCTCGTAACCCACACACGGCAGAGCTGGGCTTGGATTCAGGCTCTCCGGCTCTGAGCAGCTGTCGAGCTCTGTCCTGAGGGCTCTATGTGCACAGTCTCTTTCATTTTGAGATGACCCTGGGAGCTGGGGATTACTGTGTCCAGTTCACCAGTGGCATTTGACTAGTGCGCTCCCCAGGTCGCAGAGCGAATCCTTGGCAAAGGAACAGACCCAAGCATACCTGTCTTTAAAACTCGCAGCTGCCCTTCAGCAACAGCTGACCGGGTGTGAAAGGAGTGGGCCTACAGGGCAAACGCCTCCTCACCTCTTAAAGTGAAGGACGCAGGCAGGGAACACACCGCCTGTCAAGCAGCATCCTATATGAGGTTCTCAGTCAGGTCTGCACATCAGAACCATTCAGGGAGCTTAACAAAATGTGCTTCCCAGACTCCACTCCCAGAGATGCTAGGGCCTCTGGCCTGGGCGGGTTGCATGACCACCTGGTGATTCTAATGTGGAATAACCATTGACCTCATCTGGTCCAGCATTGGTCTAGTAGGCTGGTTCTCAACTGGGGGCAATCTTACCCCCTGGGGCAGTTGGCAACGTCTGGAGACAGTCTGGGTGGTCATAACCAGGGGAGGGGTGTTAGTGGCATCTAGGGTGTTGAGGGATGCTGTTGGACAGCCTACAAAGCACAGAACAGCCCCTCACGACGGAGGATTATCCGACTCTATAGCCCTGAGGTTTGAGAAACCCCGTCTATTCCCTTTGTGAGATCTCCACACCCAAAGGACAGAGCTAGTGGCGTAGACACATTTCCATCTCCTTCCCATCTCTCTGGGATTTTCAAGCCAAAGGGCCATAGAAAGCTTCTTGATCAGGGACGTATATTTGGATCTTCTAGGCCAGTGAGCCAAAAAAGACTAACTTAACAATTTTAGTAGCCACCTTAAAAACGAAACATGGAAAGGAGACAGGTAAAGTTCATTCTAGGGAATCTATTTTATTTAACCCCACCTCTCCAAGACATTCTCATTTCGGTGTGAACTTAACATAAAAAATTACCGACATGCTTCACATCTTTCTGGCACCAAGTCTTGGAAATCCGGTGTGTATCCTGCACTAATGGTACATCTTAACTGAGATGAGCCGCGTTTCTGGAACTCAAGAGCGATGCGTGCGTACTTAGCCGCAGCCCCGCTGGACGGTACGGCTTCAGATTCTCTTTGGTTGCCCTTTCACACACTTTTATAGAATTCTGCAGCTCTTCAGATTACTTATCCCAACTGCAATTAGGTCATTATCTGCCCAGTGATGAGTTTCGCATCTGTCCCTCCCCACGATGCGACGTGCTCCATGAGGGCAAAGGTTCCATCATTTTCTGTTTTGCCTCTTTTTTCCTATCTGTCCAGCCCAGTGCCTGCTACTTAGCAGGCGTCCAAAAAATGTCTGTCAACGGGACTGCACCTTTTCCACGCCTGACTCTCTTGCCAGAGTGGGCGTCCCTCAGCTTGCTGTAACCCAGTGCTTGGTGTGTAACGGACAGTGAATATTTGTAGGACAATAATGTGAAGGCACTTGTCCGACTCCCGATGCTTCTTTCCATCCAGACTGTTCTCTACTCCTTTACTCACTCAGCCCAGGACGGGCGGGTGGTGGGGCTCATCAGACGGGTAAACATGCGTAGAGCTAGGCAGGCATCCGGGGCCCCAGCCTGGCTTTGTCCCCATGGGAGTGAGCTGCCCTCTACTTTGCTCTCAGGGGTCTGCCCACTCCCCACCCCAACTATGGGGTGGAGCTTCGAGCGTCCAGAGGGGCCACTGAGTAGCGGGCAAGTCTGTTGCTCACCACGGATACAACCCACAGTCTCCAGCTGAGCTTTCAAAATAAATCTTTTTGACTTCTCTCGGCCCAATCCTGTCATTTCCCAAAGGGTTCAGAATTCAGGCAATCTCCTGGTTTTCCTGGCGAGGACCCCACCGAGGAGCGGGGAGGGGAAGTGAATTCCCCAGGGCACAGAGTTACATAGTGGAGGGTCCCGTGGGGGCGCCCGGCTCCCAGTCTGGAGGGCAGGGGGGCTTAGGCTGCAGCTCATGAGAAAAATGCCTGTCTCGACTCTGAACGCGCCTCTGTAGGCAAAGACCTCCCCGAAGAATCAAAGAGGGGGGCGGTCTTTACAGCACTGTGCACCAGACCCAGGGGTTCCATATTTAATCTCCGCGACTTCCCAGAGGAGCAGGGAGAACGTTCAAGCTGCAGGCGTGACCTCTGGATTTATGGGTTGGCGAGTGAGGCGTATCCCAGTCCCCTCTGGTGAGAGGATGCTCCTTGGAAGCTGGAGTTGTGTGGGTGGGGGCGGGGAGGGCTAGGATCAAGGAGGTAGAGTGGCAGCTGGGGACTGTGAGAAACAGGAAGAGCCCTTCGAGCTCCATTAAGAGCAAGCGGTTGTCTTTCCCAGCAACAGAAATTCTCCACGGGCCCCATAATTCATACCGTAGAGCCGAGCCTGAAATCAGCTCCAAGAAGCTGCACTCTGTACGACCACACGATCAGGACGTGCGTGTGTGTGTGTTTGCGTGTGCGTGGCTGCGTGTGGCCAAGTGGGACGGCACAAAGAGCCTTTGGGGGGATCAGGAATCTCCATCACTGACTCCCCGTCTGTCCCCAGATTGCGGGGATCCCCGCCAGCACCCAGCACAGCTTCCTGAGGATCCCTTCGGTGTCTCCGAGTGCTTCCCAGGACTTTGTTTTCATTAGCAAAGCAATATGTAATAATAGTTGTTAAAATAATTGTATTTCTGTTTTTACATCTGTAAAGATTAAGTTAAACAGTATGAAGCCCATTAAAGTATTTCATGACACACTGCCGTGAACTGCCCTTCATTCCCTCTGCTACTATTATTCCAGAGTAAACTTCAGAGATCGGGCGGCTGCCACGGAGGGTTATTTATAGCGGCTCATTCATCAATAAAAAACTTCAAAAGGAATCTGTTACTCTTCTATTGGGAAGCCAAAGAAAACTCACATAAAGACGGCCCTGTTAAGAAACAAAGCGGAGCGACCGCAGGACATTTAGTTAAGTAAAATCCTGATTTCTAACAAATACCATGTCGCAAAAAGAGATTGCTGGCAACGTGAATCCATTTAAGCAACTGGGTTCCCATTGGATAGTTAAAATAAGCTGTTAAACAGTTGTATTTACGTTGGCTTCAAAGGCCCTGAGTCTCCTCTTTGGGTTTTAAAAGCGTAAGAGGTCTGTGATCCTGACATAGCGAAGCAAGCCCTGTTTTCATCTTAGGAAAGCGCGGGGGACGCACACAGCCCCGGCGCCCACGGGTTACGGCTTGATTTACGGTTTTCTTGGCTCTTGGCGTGAAACTGGACTGGGGATTGGAATGGAGCCTCCCATGGTGGGAAGACCACTTACTGAGCACTTACTGTGTTCCTGGTACTGTCCCATCGAAGCAGGTGTTAGTGGCTCCATTTTGCAGATGGGAAAACCACGGTTGAGCCCATGACCCATCACGCTGGGCCATCTGTAGGGTCCCGTCTTTGGTGGCGTCTTAGAATTGTAGCGATTCGTTCGGTACTGGATCTTAAGGTGATGAGATGCAGCCGTCTGCACGTTCACGAGCGAAACGACCACGAAGGCCAACCCCAAAACGTCAGTGGAGACACGCAGACAACCGCAGCCCCGGCATTTCGTCGTGTTTCTGTGCCTTGACACCAGACAGGTTCTGGGAGGCATGATGCTGGGTTGTAGAAAGGAAACTGCCTTCGAAGGACTCTCTTATGGAGACATCTTGTCCTTCTGGAGGCGGAGGTGGAGGCTGGAGGGTGGGTGACGACACAGTCCACAGCCTCCGTAATTGTCGGGCAGCCAGCAAGTGCTGAGAACTCTGCCAAGCGAGAGCAGCAGAGGCCTCTGTCAGTTATTTTTTCCAGCCTCGTGATGTAAATACCAACCACAGGCCCATTTTACAGATGAGGGGATTGAGGCTCAGTAAACGAACTTGCTCACGGTTACCCAGCGGGGAGGACACAGAGCAGGGCTTGGCCTCTGCGCTGGAGGTCAGGGCGGGGGCGGCCTCTCCTTGGCTAACAGGAGTGGGAGGCTTTGGATTCAGACAGGCCAGTGGTGACTGGTCACGCAGCTTGTCCACTGCTCAGAGCTGGCCGAGGGGCCGAGCTAAGGCTGAACATCCAGCCCGTGCATCTTGGAGGAGAGGCGCCTTCTGGGCTCCAGATGGCCCGGGAACCAGGCCTATCCGGACTGGAAATCTGGCTTTGCTCCTTGTTAGCAAGTTATTCAGCCTCTCGGAGCCTCAGATTTCTCATCCCTCAAATGGGATAATGACATCAGGGCAGCGGTGAGGATGGAGAGGGGTGAGGTCATTTATCCGCAGGGACTGGCTCAGCGTAACAACCACAACAGTGGGCGCTGACTGCACGCGTCCCCTGGGCTAGACCAACGCCGACAGCCTTCGTGTAGAAACTCGTGCAGTCCCTCCAGCCACACGCTCAGATGGGAGCTGTGAGCACCCTCGTCTTATAGACGAGCCAGCTGGGCCACAGAGGGGCTCGGTAGCTAACTCAGCATTGCACGGCTCTGCGTGGGATGCAGGCCGGCCCTGAGTCCATTCTCGCACCGCTCTTCGCACCCACCTCTTTAGCGGGTCCTCCGTAAATGTGACGGACTAGGCGCCACCCCGTAGACAGCGCTGACGTGCATGCCGAGAACTGGTGCTTATTCTAGGAACATGGGGGCCACCGATGCACTTTTGCAGCCCTCTCGGGACTCCATCCACAAGGATTCTCATCGTCAGTTGTGCTCTAGAATGCCTTCTGGTTGTGCAACACGTGATCTGAGATGCGGCCTGTGTGTGGCCTGGGAATCGGGAAGCTTGGCGCCCACCCCCCTGCGTTGCTGCTGTGTATCCTGACACGTGAGCCCAGGGGGCCCTGTGCCCTCAGCACTCAGTTTCCTCACCTGTGACATAAAGGAGGTGCCTCGAGGGCTGGCTGAGGGCTGCCCCGTTGTCACCTGCCTGGGGTGTCCACACTTGAGCGCAGAGGGGGACCCCTGAGCACATGCCTGACCACAGGCCTCGCTCTAGAGGGACTTAAAGAACACGTGCTTGGTCTCTGTCCAGAGCCTGAGGGAGGGGCCCCATCTCGGACACAGAGCTGTGACTACATTACTTTCTTTTGCTGAGCGCCCTTTGGGTTCCCCATAGATGGCCACAGGGTGGGTTTGGAGGGAGTCTCTAATTGGGGGTGGGGACCTGAACAGTATGCAAATGCTGCCCTTTGCAATTTCCCTTCATCTCCTTTAAGGCAGTTATCGAGAAGAACGGCGGCTACAAAGACCAGAACCCCTTTATGGCACTGTTAGCCGGAGCTTCAGCTCACAGCCTTCCGGTGTGTGGAGGGGAGGCCTGTCCTCGTTGGATGGAGGAGAAGCTAACAGCCACCCTGGCGTGGCGTCCCCAACTTGTTCAGCAGATCCTTTCCCAAGATGTGCTGTTAGCATTGGATGAATTCAGCTGCATTTTGGATTTGCCAACCATCTCACACTGTTTTTAAAATGCTTGGGGTTTGATAAAACTGAAAAAGATATTTGCCAAGCCCCATTCCCCTTCATTTTTTAAACCCATGTGGATTTTAAGGGGAATTTAATCCATATGTTTCTGATTCATTTGCTCTTAACTCATCAAAACCTTGTTTCAAAAAAGCTATTTGATGTCCAAGGAGCTTTTGGAGTTGGGTTTTAAATCTTTTAAAGTCCTCCCTTCCTGGCTTTGAAATGAGATGTTGCCGTTTGCCAAGCATAAATGAGCTCCCTAGCTGAAAAAAGGTTCATGTTTGGTTCACAATTAGAGAACTGTGAATTCTCAGTGGGCTGTGAAATGGGCAAAACCTGCCTCCTTTGAAGACTGGTCAGGACCCCCTCCCCTACAGCCAGGGCCAGGGTCCCACCGCCTCTGTGTCCAGGAGTCATGCCATCGGCTGGGTGAGGGACAAGAATGATGGATCCTTTCACTTTCGCACCTTCATTCTATCAGCCCAGAGAAGGGCAGCCTGGAAGGTGTTTCTGAGGACTGGGCTCCACACATTTTAGGAGAATATAACTTAGGAGGGACTTACTTACATGTTTATAAAGCCTGATTTATTTTAAGCTTTTTATAATGGAACCTTTAAAACATATACAAGAATAGAGAATGTCCTCATGTATTACTCACCACGCCTCAGCCCTTATCAGCTCAGTATCAACCTTGACTTTGAGATGAATTCTGGATTTTCTATCGTTTCATTCTTCTACACTTCTGTCCATATCTCTAGAACATAAGGAAAGACTCTTTAAAAGTCCACAATACCCTGATCACAAATTGGCAATAAATTCCTAAATGTCATAAAAATCCTGATTAATTTCCCCCTATTTTCTCATAAGTTAGAAAAACTGGGTTCTTTGAATCAGGATCTAAATGAAGCCATCCATTGCATTTGGTGGCTTTTAGTCCTTTGGTTTCTCTCTTCTTTTTTTCTGTTGGCAATTTATTTGTTGAAGAAATAGGTCATTTATCACGTGGCATTTCCCGCATTTTGGATTTTTCTGATTACATTCTTGTATTTAACAAGTTTCTCTTCCCCTAAAAATGCAAGTTCTTAGAGTTTATGTTTTTGAAAAACTTCAGAGTCAATTCCAGTAGAACAATATTTTACATTTTGATAGGCTTAATATTTCCTTTTTTGTACCTTGAAATATCCCCTTTGGCCCTATATTTAACTCCATTCTCTGAGTATTACTCCCCCCCATCTCTCTCTCTCTCTCTCTCTCTCTCTCTCTCTCACACACACACACACACACACACGCGTACATTTTTGTTTCACTTATTCGGTGCCAGTTACAAGACATCAAATGCTGCAGTGGCAGGACCCTGTTCCATTACGTACTAAGACCCGGAAGGAATAAGGGCGCAGGAGAAAGCAGAGATATCCTGAAAATGAACACACGACCATCATAAGCACGCTTTTCCAAATGTGATTTTGAGTGTTACACATCATGAGTGACCCAGTGAGAAAGCTTTCCCCCTTTCCGTTCTCCTCCGCGCCATTTGATGGCGTCAAGGAGCGTCTCAGTCGGCGGGGCCGTGGTCTTTCTTCCCTCTAACACCTGCCAATCTTCTCACGTAAGGAAGGCAGATGAAGGCCTGGGGGTGGAGCCGTGGCCAGGTAACAACATCTAGCTGCGCCGAACAGCATTGCTTTGCTTTCCTTGTACCTGATTTGTTTACGATCTACACATCAAGAGATACGGACTGTCCGTCGTCAGCCATACTTCAAAGCTTACTTTTACAGTAAAAAGCGAGGGTCGACTTAAAGGAAAACGTTAATGACCTCGTGGAACGGTGCTCTGTGCTTTGGCGAAGCCTCGCACTCCCGGTGCTGGCTGACGTTTGGCAAGCAGTGCAGGAGCAGCGGGAGATCTGGGGGACGCAGCGAGAAACTCTGGGTCCTTTTCCTCCCCTTCTTCGTAATCTAACCAGTAAATGCAGGCAGCCACTTCACCTCCCTGCAGGCTGTCTCCCCCGTGGAGTGGGACGCAATCCCTGCCCCGAACCCCGGCCTCACCTCCCAGGGTTCTGGTGGAGGAACAAAGAGATGAGGAAAGTGATGCCTTGTAAACTATGATTATTACGCATGATTTAATCGTCTATTCCGCACCCCTCCAGACACCATTTCTTCTCTCTTCTCCTCTCCCCCTTCTTCAACAGTCTTTACCCTCTCTTCTTGATGCCCCCATTCACTCACCGTCCTTCTGGAACTATAACAGGAAGAAAAGCAGGTGGTTGGGTAGAGACTAAAAAAACTCCCACAAATCCTTGTCTGAAGGACCAGAAATAATTGGGGCTGGCGGCCCAGGATTCCTCCAGTAGTTCCGTCTGCATCAGACCCCACCTCTGGGCCACAGTGATTGGGCCCAGCTTCGGACATGTGACTCCTGTTGGGCCGATCAGAGTCTACCACAGGGGTTTTCCTCACTGGAGCGGAGAAGCACGTGCTCTTTCTCTGAGCAAGATGGGAGCCTGGAGGTGCCTGCAGATGTGGTTCCCCCCTTTGGTGGGTGGATGGAGCTGACCCGAAAGTCACCCAGTGAGAAGGTTTCCCCCTTTTCAGTTCTCTCCCACACCATTCGACTATATCAAGGAGGAGAATGTCAGTTTGGTGGCTTCTTTTTTCTTGGAATAAACAAGAGAAAATGTCGGGGGTGGGAGGGGAGAACAGCCTTTGAGTCCCTGAGGCTCCCTCTGCCCCAGATATTTGATTAGAGGAACCGAAAAACTCTTAAGCCAATTTACTTAAGCCAGAGTGTGTTGTGTTTTTGTCACTTTCAACCAAAAGAGTCCTAATGAAATACATCTGGTAAAATTACGTTTAAAAGCACATATTGGACAAACAGGATGTCTGCAAACAGATTAGGGACAGGTCTAATCGCTTTGCGATGGCCAACCTGAATTGCTTCAGAGGGAGAAGTTCTAGTCCTAGACCAGGATCTGAATCCAAGCGTCCTCAGCATCACTGTTGCTAACAGCTGGCTTCCTGTGACAGACTTCCAGCTAGCGCCTTGCATTTTGATAACCTTACCGAGCATTTTCATATTTACCCCTTTTTCTCATCACGTCCCTTTGATGTGGTCCAGAATGACTGATTAATTTGACCAAGCAATGTTTGCCGAGCACCTACTATGAGCTGGGCACCCCGGTGGAATGGCAAAGATGTAAGATGGAGTTTCTATAGCCAAGCAGGTGATACTCAAGAACCATCCATTTGATAAAGAAATGGAGGCACTAAGCAAGGTTAAGCGACCTCCTCCAGGAGTCTTAGGTCTTTCGGATGGAAATGGGACCTTTTAACTTCCCAGCCCGGGCCCCTGCACCGCAGCCTGCTGCCTGTTTCACAGTGTTTGAAAGAGGCTCACTCTCTTTCCACCACTCAGCTGTGCCAGTGGTGTCTCTGGGGCCCTGCGCTCCCGGCTGGGGAGTGAAGGATTGCATACAGAGGCCTCAGACTTGCAGCCGATGGCTGGGGGCATGAGAGGTTGGCCGTTTTCTTTGGTTCAAAGAAACCTATTTTAAAACACACTGTATCTCACAGATCTCATCCTTGGTAGCAATCTCAGCAGCCTAGTGTCTGTTGCCTTACACCTGGCCCATGTCAGTGCCTCTTATTATCTTCCTGGCCCTTGTAGACTTTTGAGTTTGCATCACAAGGTGGTCTCTTAGGTAGTTTCCAGTCTTGATATATATATTTTTAATTTATTTATTTAATTAATTTATTTTTGGCTGCATTGGGTCTTCATTGCTGCACGCGGGCTCTCTCTAGTTCCAGTCTTGATATTTTTATGACTATATCTTACTCTTAAAATATATATACACAATATCCATAAAATTTTAGACATGTGGACACTCTTTTGATCACCTCTCAGGTTATGATTTGGAATATTTCTGTCACCCAGAAAGTTCCCTTGTGCCCTTTCCCAGTCAATACCCCCCACCCTAGAGATAACTGCCCTTTTGACTTCCATCACCATCAGTTAGTTTTATCTGTTCTCGACTGTTGTATAAATTGATTCAAACAGCACGTGCTCTTGTGTCTGCCTTCCTTCCCTCGGCGCTATGATGGAGACTCAACCACGTGGTTGTTTGTGGCAGTGGTTGGTCCGTTTTCACTGCCGTGTAATATTCCCCTAGAGGAAGAAACCACGACCTCTTCGTTCTACTGCTGGTGGGAGCTTGGGTTGTTTGAAGTTCTTGAGTGTTGGGAGTAACTGAGTGTCCTTGCACACGCCTTCTTGTAGAACACAGTCCTAGATTCGACTGGGGATATACTCAGGAAAAGAAACTGCTTGGTCATGGGCTGTGTGCCCTTTGAGCTCCGTCCCGCCGGACAGCATCCCAGCGAGACAGAACTCTTGTTCCTCTACTTCTTACTCTTTGCAGAGGGGCTGCATTTACACACGTCTTCCTCTCCCAATACGTGGTGAGCAGCTGGCACGCAGTAGGTGTTCAGCTAATGCGGTTCCTTTTTGGAGAACGAATACTGATCAAATCCCCCTTCCCAGTCACTGCCAGCACCCTGTTCACCGTCACGAGTGACATTCGAGCACTGCCCGCTATGGACCTGATCTCTAATCTCCACGAAGCCCTGAGAGGCTGGCATCATCTTGCCCGCTTCGCAGATGATGCAGCCGGGACTCAGCAGAGCTAATCACTCTGCCCGAAGGGTCCCAAGTGGAGCTGGGATGCAGGTCTGCCCAAGGCCCACGTGCTGTCACTAAGCTGTCTCCTGCGAACATCTCCTCCGCCTCTGGCACCCCCGCAACCCACTTCCCAGGCGGCTCCCAGTGCTTGTCTGTTCCTGTGGAACCGTTTGCAGGGACCAGGGCATTTCTCGACAGTTCGGCTCCCCTGGGAGGTCTCTAGGGTCTACGGTCTGTTTATAAATGGCCCCTGGGCCTTTTCCTTTACTGGTCATTATTGACAAATAAATGGCTGACTCACAAGAGTAAAAATATACTTCTGGTTTAGAGCTGTGGAGTTATTAAAAGTTTGTTGTGTCTACTCAGATGGTACAGCCACTGCCCGAGGACAAGGCAGCTGATGTGACTGTAGGACGAGCACAGACAAATGTTCCCTCTCCTGACTCAGTCCTGGCCATATGTTGTCGGTCACGGTGACAAGGCCCACGAGGTTCTAGGGGTCCACCCCCTCTGGGGTTTGCGTGGAGCAGCAGAGCGCTGCATCTGGAGCCGGGGGACCTGGGACGAGGCCACAGCTCTGTTGTCTTCCAGTTATGTGACCGTGGCCAAGTCACCTCCTTAAGCCTCTCCTCCACCCCTGCTGGAAAGTGGGAATCATAGAGCTTGCCTCCCGGGGTTGGTAGGAGGTGTGAGCAAACACTATTTCAGACGAGTTGCCAGAGTGACCATTTTAGAGATAGAAAGGGTTGGCCTGATATGAGCTCGGAGAGGAGGGCTGTGGCCAGGGGCGCCTTCAGGCAGGGCTCAGGAGATTGCTCTGGGAAGCCATTGGATGCTCAGGCAGGGTGAGGGCGCGAGGGCAGGGCACTGGCAGCCTCTGCTGCAGCAGAGGTGGCCGCTGGCCCTGCCAGGAAGCTGCCCCAGAGGCTGGAGAAAGAGCCGTGCTTAGTTCAAAACTCCTCCGCGGTCAGGCGCCCTTCTGCCGTGAACTTCCGCAGTGCTTCAGCTCCCTCAGTGGGCAAGCATCTGATGCTTCGAAAGAGAGGCAGGATTCCCTACGCAAGGAACGTAGTAAGTACTGAAGACAGGAAAAGACCGCAGATACGTTTACCCGTGAGCCGGCAAATACAGGCCTGCTGCTCAGGCCTTTCCCACCCAGCACGCTTCTCCTGAACCTCTGAGCCTCCAGCGAGCCCTGCAGGCTGCACCGCCGGCTCGGAGTTGACGCACGTGAGCACTCCTCTCTGCCTCTCAGCCCTGGTCCCCAGAAGCTTACCCGCCGGGCTGTGCTCAAGGGATGGGCTTTGGCAACCGTGGTGAGACAGTATTTAACATTTCCGAGACAGAAATGGCCATCCGAAAAGGCTAAAATGATATGTTTTGGCCCCGTCTCTAACCTTTGGAAGGATGCCCAGCTTCCGACAGTCTCTGACGCTGTTTTGGGGGAGGAAACCTTATGTTGAGGAAAAGCACATTGCTCTCCTTTAAGGTTCTATTCGCTCTTTTCGGAACTCCCATTTCAGGGACCCCAGACGCCGTGTCCCATCGTATTCTTCACTGCCTGCCAGTGGGGCATCCCCTGGACTCCCAGGTGGTCAGAGCCTAGACATCTGTTCCAGAAAGGCTTAAAGAGGAAAAGGTCTTCTAAGAAATAACTACTCCTACATAACAAAACACTCATGGTTCCTTCCAAGAAAACATGCTCCCACAGTGATTTGAAAAAATTACCCAGTTAAATCCTTTTATCAGGAAGGGATTTATCCCCCAGTGACCAACTCGTAGAAAACAGACGTGTGCCATGATTCACAGAATGAACCCTGGTTTCCATCACTCGGCTCTTACAGACATTGTTGCCAACATCCCATTTAAAGCCCTACTTAGGGTTAAGACTCCATGCTCACAAATGCAGGGGGTACGGCTTCAATCCCTGGTGGGGAACTAAGATCCCAGGGGCTGCACGGTGTGGCCAAAAAAAAAAAAAAAAAAAAGCGAAAGAGAAGAATTAAGTCCTACTTAGAATCTTGAATCTGAATCAGATACAAAACATGGTTTGATTTGGGAATAATAATGATCAAAAGAAACCAAGCACCATATTATTTAAAAGGCAATTGGTTGAATCCATTGAAAAATCAATGCTAATGGGTCATTTATAAGAATAACCACTTATTTGTTTTTCTTTTACCATTCTTAATGGGTTTTTTGTTTGTTTGTTTGTGTGGTGTTTTTAATGACTGAAAATTGTTTCCTGGATTAGTGTCGTATTTGACATGAAAATAAACATTTTTGATTTGAACCACCAGATGACTCAAATTAGTGGAGGGAAGTAAGATCTGGCCTTGTCGGGCTCCTGGGAAATCTTGAGTCACTATCTGAATCTGGGTTTCAGTTTTTCCATTTTTAACACAAGTGATTTGGAAGGAGTCACCCCTCTAGTGCTTCTACAAAAGGGGCAGAGACTTATAGATGATTGCCTAGAACAGCACTGTCCAAAAGAACTTTCTGCAGCGACAGGAATGTTCTCTAATAGAATATACATGTGCGTGGTCTCCCGTATGGTAGCCGCCAAGCACTTAGAATGTGGAGACGGCACGTGAGGAGCTGCATTTTAAATCTGCTTCAATTGTAACTCATTTACATCTAAGTAGCCACGTGGCTGGTGGCCCTGGTTCTGGGCTGTGAGGATTCAAGGAGCGAGTCTTCAAACTGGTGACTGTGACAGAGTGTCTTCCCCATGGACCACCGTTTTCTCCTCAGAAAAAGAGATGTTTGGGTAGATGAGAGCTTCTTAAAATTTTCCACCAGAGTTCACTGTTACAGTCAGGGTCCTATTAGGAAAACTGAAGCAATACTAGGCATTTCAAAGGGAAGTGACTGGGTGTAGGGCATTAGGGAATCAAACCTTCAGAAAGCCTGGCAGAGGGATGTCAGGAGAGGTTGTATCCAGCTTGCAGGTTTGTCACTGTGAGTGGAATTCAAAGCCTCGACGGGCTGGTGCTGTTGCCCAGCGGTCAGAAAACTGCAGGAAGGCCTTGCTGACAGGGCTGCCTTGTGGGCCCGAGCAGGGGGCTGGCAAGGGAACACAGAGGCAGCTACAAAAACGTGCACTTGCCAGATGCATCCTCCGCGGCTGCCAGAGAAACACGGGTGGCTTCTGCCTTCCAAACCTTGTGTGAGAGCTTCTCGTCTGTGGAGAAGTGTAGCTCCCTGTCTTCCAGCCCTGTGGTACACGAGGCGGGAATCCACGTCCACTGCCCCAAAACATGTCCAGCGAGTGCTCCTAACATCACAGGAAGGTGAACAAGTGTCCCCCACCACGTCAGAGACTGGAGGAGTAGAGTGCAGGGTGGCCCGGCCCCAGGACAAGATCGACATTTGTTGTTTTGCCTGCTCAGTATAGGCACACCTTGTTTTGTTTTGTTTTAAATTTATTTATTTTTGGCTGCACTGGGTCTTCATTGCTGCACATGAGCTTTCTCTGGTTGCAGCGAGCAGGGGCTACTCTTCGTTGTGGTGCGCGGGCTTCTCGTTGCGGTGGCTTCTCTTGTTGCAGAGCACAGGCTCTAGGTGTGTGGGCTTCAGTAGTTGCGGCTCGCAGGCTCTACAGCACAGGCTCAGTAGTTGTGGCACACGGGCTTAGTTGCTCCACGGCATGTGGGATCTTCCTGGACCAGGGCTCGAACACGTGTCCCCTGCATTGGCAGGCGGATTCTTAACCACTGCGCCACCAGGGAAGTCCCGGCACACCTTGTTCTACTGCACTTTGCTTTATCTCACTTCCAGTTTTTTACAAGTTGCTGGTTTGTGGCAACCCTGCATCAGGCAAGTCCATCGGCGCCATTTTCCCAACAGCATTTGCTTACTTCATGTCTCTGTGTCACGTTTTGGTAATTCTCACAGTATTTCAAACGTTTTCATTGTTATTATATTTGTTATGGTGAGTTGTGATCAGTGACTGTAGGTGTTACTACTATGACTCGGTGAAGGTTCATGGTTAGACTTTTTTAGCAACAAATTTTTAAAAATTAAGGTATGAATGTTGTGTTTGAGACATAATGCTACTGTACACTTAATGGACCATGGTGTAGTGTAAACACAACTTTTATATATACTGGGCAACCAAAAAATTTCTCTGACTGGGGTAGCTCAGGGAGATAGGATGCAAGCCTGGTACTCAGGCAGGCATTCTGCCTCCATGAGGGCAGTTCCTGCCTGAGACTAGAGCCAACGTGCTCCAGTGCCATGAGGGAGGAGTGTGGGCCCCACAGGGGCGTGTATACTTCTGGGTTTGTAAACAGCCTGGCAGGGCTTCAGTTGGCAGCCACAATCATTTCAGAATCTTTCTGTGGCAAACAATTTCCAGCGACTGGGCTCTTAGCTTCTTCCCTGTGTCCATGGGTCCACCAGGGTTCCTGACTGAGCGTGTGTCTTTCTGCCTTGTTACTATGAGCCCACGTCCTGGCCTGATGCTCTATCTTTCCCAGGCTTGGGGCTCTGTTTGACTTTTCTCAGTCCTTCCAGGCTCTGGGCTCCTGTCCCTGAATCCAGCATCACAGGAGACCCTGCAAGGTGCACCCAAACCTCACTGCCGCTGGCATCTGTCCTCCTACTGCTGGGCTGGCACCCTGCCCACCTGCTGGAGCTCCTGGTCCCTGGCCACCTGCTGCCCAGCACCACGCTCTCAGATTCTACAGTCGCACCTGCATCACCCAGCGTCCAGCCACCGAGAGTCATTCTGCTTCCCGACCCCGGCAAACCTTCCCAGGGGCTTTGTTTGATCTATTTCATCAACAGCTCCCAGCTGACATTTACATTACTCCTTCCAGACCCGTGCCGGCCAGGTGACTGGAGAAACTGAGCCACAGAGTCGGAATTGTCCAAAACCTTCCATGTCCCCAACAAATCTTTTACCAACAGCCATTTGGAGCCCAGACGCCTTAGAAGTCATTGCAGACAGGCAGCTTCCATCAATTCCACAATAAACATTTAGCCAAGAGAAAAAACTACCTCAAATCTCAAATGATGTGAGAGTGACGTGAAGCCCAGGATGTGGGCATTGAGTCCACGCTGAGCAGAAAATCTCCCTTCCTCCCGAGTGGACCCACCTCGGCTTCAGAAGAGCCATTTCAGCTCAAGCAGCACAGTGGCTCATTGTAGAAAGGGCCATCCTTGGTGTCCTCTGTACTAAAACGACAAAATGGTTTGGGTAGATTTAGGTCATCTGGGAGTTGGAGTCCTGGACAGAAGCAGGCCGTGGGGGCCAGGGCTTGGTCCAGGCAGCTTGGGGGGCGGGTCTGGAGGGTGAGTGGCGGGCTGGAATTGAGCAGGGCTCGGGCTGTTCGTGGTTGTCAGCCCCCAGAGGGGAACCAGTGGCATAGTTGGCCCGCTTTGCACGCCGGGCACGAGGATAGGGGCAGCTGGGGGTGGAAATTTGGGGAGAGACACTGGGCCACGCACTGAAACTTGAAGAGGAAATGCCAGATGCAGACCTGGAGCCGCCCTGGACACAGTGAGTCTAACTCGGGAAGCCAATAAACAGTAGGATGCTGGCGGGCGGGTTAACAAAAGCTGCCTTCGTGGTGAAGCAGTAGGAGGGAGTAGCTGACTAACGCTCCTCTCCATGCAGGATGCGGGGCCTGGAAGCCCAGGGACGCTCCTGCATGCTCTCAGCGGGATGGCAGCCGGGGCGCCCACACACCGGGCAGAGCTGCCCACCGTCGCCGCTGCCCACAGCCCTGCTCACTCCCACCTTGCGCGGCAACACCTCTCAGCTCGCTGCCCTCACAAGAGCTGCACCTATTCTCACACTCCCTAACACAGCGCCGTCCAGAAGAACAGTCTGCTACGACGGAACATTCCAGAACCTCACTGTCCCAGGTGGTTGACACGTGTGGCTCTTAGAGCACTGAAATGGGGCTGGTGTAACTGAGGAACGGAATTTTCAGTCTCATCGAGCACAAACCCCTGCCTTGTTCATCCGTTTCTCTGCCCCAAGTGAGTGCCTGGTGGACAGCAAACCTGTGCTGCACGGTGATCTTGTTTTATTTTTCTCTTTCCTGCTATTCGCTGGGTCCTGGAGATCCAAGAGGTAAGTGGAAGCCGCTCTCTCCTCAGCATATATACATAAAATTCATGCAGGAATTTGACTGGCCAGGCCTAGCCATGGGTCTCCTCTCTGTACAGGACCATTTTCACACCTGAAAAATGAACAATAATTCTTCAAAATAATCAGATACCAAGTAACTGCTCAAAATTTCCCAATTGCCATATCTACATCTATCTATATTATCTGTCATCCATTTCTACCCACCCATCTCTATCATCTATCTATGATCTATCATCTGTATGTCTATCACCTATCTATCTATCTATCATCTATGTATCTACCATCTCTCTCTATCTATCATCTATCTAACAATCACCTGTCATCTATCTGCCTATCATCTATCAGTCGCCTATCATGTATCTATCATCTATCTGCCTATCAATCATTTATCTATCAGTCACCTATCTATCATCTATCTGTCTATCATCTACATATATTTCTGTCTCTATTGCCTGTTTATTCATCCATCTGTCTAACCCATCACCTATCTGCATCCATGCATCTGAGGCAGGGTGCAGCAGGGCCCACACACGCATGTGACATCAGGGCCTCCACTCCTCACTGCGCGGCCGATTCTCTCATCACCTGGTCAGTGACACGGACAGAATCAGGGGCCTTCCTCCCAGTCCAGTGCTGCTTTCTACCACCCACGCTAGCTCAGCCCCTGGGCCATGTCTGGCCAGCTCCCCAGCTGATAACTGTCAGCCCTGCCCTCCTGTCTCCCCGTCGGTCGCCAAGGATGCGCTCGCTGAGCGTGGAGCGTGGAGCTGGCAGCCACACCATCTGATACTACTCTGTCTCGGGCAGATTTCAGCACTTCGTCATCCTCTCAGTCCTGGCGCCAACGTGCGGCCCAGCCCACTGCCAAGCGGGGCCGTCAGGCCCCACAGGGGAGCCTCGCACGCTCGGACATGGCCAGGCCGTGTCGAGACAATCCTGGGCACCCAGGCAAACACCCCAGGTCTGGTCAGACTGGATTGAGCCCGACTTCCCGGAGGCCCGTGGCCCGTGTGGGCTCTGACAACCCTGGGCGCTGTTTTCAGGGCACACAGCTCCAGAAAGCAGCCCTTTTCTGCTGAGACTGGAAGCCTGGGGGCGGTGCTGTCACAGCTGAAAAACAGATTTCCATCGGGAGCGTTTAGATGTTTTCTGAAAAGTTGAAAATATTTTTCCTTTTAATTTCTCCATTTTCCAACGTGACCTCACAACCCTACCTATTCCTTAACACCTATTTCATTCAAGCTAGCACAATTCAAAATAATAAGATTTATCATGTGCACATAACGCCTCTTTTTACCTCACAGTGACCTTAGAGGGATCCTTATCATTCCTATTTTACACAGATGAAGAAGAGAGCCCAGAGAGCTTAAGTCACTTGCCCAAGGTCACACAGCAGGGCTGGGGTTTGAGCCTAAGTCTTTTGATTCCAAAGCTTGGAAGGAACTGATTGTCCATCAGACCAGTTTCTTCCTGGATGGCAAGGCCCTGGGATACCCAGGGGCATGAGAAGGGCAGAGCCAGGGGGCAGAACCTGGCAGAATCCCCAAGGACGCTATGGGGACAAGGACCCTCTCCACGTGGCCGACGGGCCCAGTCCCAGAGTGGCCCACCTGTTTCACTGATTTCTCTCTCTCTCCCTCTCCAGAAAGAACTCCAGGTTCTGTAAGAACTGTGTTTTCTCAGGATGGTTCCTCATGCTTCTCAGCCCAGGTGAATAAAAGTTGGGTGTCACCTGCCCACCAGACCACCTGGCCAAATCTAAGTCCCATTCAAGGCCCCCAGGACACACACACCATCCCTATTTTATAGATAGGGAAACTGAGGCTCAGAGAACAAAGGAACTCATCCACGGCCCCACGGCTGTGGGATTCAAAGCCAGGTGTTTGCACCCCTTGGCCCAAGCACATTAGAATCAAGGGCACAGTTTCAGGAAAATACGGAATGCTGCCTCTGGGACCCAGAAGCTCACGTTCAATTCCCCTGGGATGGGGTCTAAAAGCTCCCCAAGTAATTATTGTGTTCAGCCAGGGTTTAAAACTTGATGTTCCAAGTGGGGTCCCAGGATGAGCAATATCACCTGCAAGCTTGTAGAAATGCAGAGTCTCAGGCTCCACCCAGACCCAGTTATTGTGAGAACAATATTTTTTCCTATTGCCTTGGGCGCTGGAACCACCCTTAGAAACAACCAGTCCTCCTGCCCCACCTACCGCACCCCTGGGCTCTGACTTAATTGGTCAGGCTGTGACCTGCACATTGGGAGGGTTAAAACCCTCCAGGTGGCTCCAATGAGTTGCAAAGTTGGAGCACCCTAGTTCAGAATCTCTGCTAAATTAGACTTCTGAGAACTAGGTGGTTCTCAGAGTATCTCTTTGGGGTAAAGGACTCTTTCTTTAGTGTAAATAACATTTATATTTATTGATTGAGCAAATGAAAAAAGTCATGACAAAAAGGAGGGTTTATCAATAAGAAAATGTTAACTTCCGGGAACATATTTTTGGAACACTGGGATAATGAATTGTAGAATCAATAAACAAGTCTACGGCTTCCCTGGTGGTGCAGTGGTTGGGAGTCCGCCTGCCGATGCAGGGGACACAGGTTCGTGCCCCGGTCTGGGAAGATCCCACGTGCCGTGGAGCGGCTGGGCCCGTGAGCCATGGCCGCTGCGCCTGTGCGTCCAGAGCCTGTGCTCCACAACGGGAGAGGCCACAACAGTGAGAGGCCCGTGTACCGCAAAAAAACAAAAAACAAAAAACAAGTCTACTGTTGGTGGGAATGTAAATTGGTGCAACCATTATGGAAAACAGTGTGGAGGTTCCTCAAAAAAGTAAAAACAGAGCTACCATATGATCCAGCAATCCCACTCCTGGGCATATATCTGGAGAAAACTCTAAGTCAAAAAGACACACGTACCCATATGTTCACAGCAGCACTATTCACAATAGCCAAGACGTGGAAGCAACCTAAATGTCTACCAACAGAGGAATGGATAAAGAAGATATAGTACATATATACAATGGAATACTACTCAGCCATAAAAAAGAATGGAATAATGCCATTTGCAGCAACATGGATGGACCTAGAGATTATCAAACTAAGTGAAGTCAGTCAGAAAGAGAGACAAATACCATATGATATTACTTATATGTGGAATCTAAAATGAACAACACAAATGAACTTATCTGCAAAGCGGAAACAGACTCACAGACATAGAGAACAGACTTGTGGTTGCCAAGCAGGGGGGTTGAAGAGGGATGGATTGGGAGTTTGGGATTAACAGATGCAAACGATCACATATAGAATGCATAAACAACAAGGTCCTAATGTATAGCACAGGGAACTATATTCAATATCCTGTGATAAACCATAATGGAAAAGAATATGAACAAGGATATATATATATATGTATGTATAACTGAATCACTTTACTCTACGGCAGAAATTAATACAACATTGTAAATCAACTACACTTCAACAACAACAAAAATAAACAAGGCTAGAATAGAATAGAAAATTCCAGACCACATCGGGGGTAGCAGGAATGTTGTTCTGGTTCTGCCGGGGTGAGGTATAAAGCGTGTTTCTCATCGTGCATGTGGCACAGACAGGTGGATCTCAGAGGCCTGGGGGCCCCCGCGAGAGTGAGATGTGGTCCTGCCAAATTGTCCTGGGGCCCTGGACTGGGAGAGAGATGAGGTTAAGTCCCCTGGAGGTGAAAGGTCGAGCCAGCAGATTGATTAATCAGTGGCTGGGGAGAGGGTCATGAGCTGAGTGCAGGCCACTCCCCACCACCGCTGCCAGGATTCAAGGCTCTTCCCCAAAGGGGAGTCTCCCCGTTCCGAGGCTGGCCCACGGGTTACACTCGGAGGGCAGGGGGCAGAGCCTCAACCTCTCGGGCTGGGTGCTCCTTTGGGGAACAGGGCTGCTAGGGTTCCGTGGGGATGCCATGAGATGATGCCCAGCAGACGCTGAGCATGGCAGTGTCTGGGGCGTCTGCAATAAGCCTTGGGTGACAGCAGCCTTTGGACGACGGGGCGTGCTGTCCCAAGCCTCCTGAGGGGTCCAGGGAGAGTCAGCTATGGGGCAGGAAAAGCGCAGTTCCCAGGGTGCCCTCTGAAGCCCGAGACAGAGGCTGGTCTGGGCGGGAGATGCCAGAGGGCTCGCCTGCGTTCCCAGGCCGAGATCCCCAGGGCGTCCATGGCCTCTTTTGATCTGCCTTCTCCTCTGGAGCCTCCTGTCAAGGAACCAAATCACTCTCCGACCCTGGCAGCTCCCCTGCTGCATGTCTTTCCACTGTGGGTTGGAATCCTGACTTTTCGGCCACTTGAAAGGCATGGGCCCCCTGCTCCCCACATCTGCCACTCACTTCTGTAGAGGCCGTGCTGCTGGCGTGGACGGCTGAGCGGGAGCCCCCACCCGCGGCCCCGGGGACAGGCGCCTTCCCAGAGCCCCAGGGGCCTCTTGCCAGGTGACTTCAATTTGCTGTGACCCTGTACAAAGCATCACTTCGTGTGAATGGGACGCGCCCCTGGTGACATTTTAATTACCGACCTGCGTCCAGGAGAAGCTCGGAGCATCTTGCAGGCCTGATGAGACCCACTGTCTCTACCCCCCCACACCCTCCCAGCCGCCCTCCCCCCACGGCCTTGGGCCCCTGAAGATGCCGGGAGGAGCCGAGCTCAAGCGCTGTGAGTGGTGCGTGAAGTGGACGCACGACCGGGCCCGGCCCGACTGTTGGGTGCAGCGCTGGGCGGACGCCAGGCACCCGCTGGTCTTTGACCCTCACAGCTGGCGGGGGATCCCCAGAAGCCTACCCTGGGAGAAGAATCCGAGTACAGCCCTTTCTCTGGACACGTTCTGGTCATCACTGCAACGGAACAAATAACCCCGAAACTTAGCGGCTTAAGACAACGGTGTCTTTTCTTTCGCTTACGAGTCTGCGACTGGGCAGGGGCTGGTGGGGACCCCTCGTCTCTGCTCCATTTTGTCGGAGGCCTTGTCTCCATGATGGGAACTGGGGCAGTGGGGTGAGGCGTCTCCCTCCGCACGTAGGTGCTCTCACTGGGCCGCGAGGAAGCCGCCTTTCCTACAGGG